AGGCCGGACTAGCTCAGCTGGTAGAGTAGGAGACTCTTAATCTCAGGGTCCTGGGTTTGAGCCCCACATTGGACCTCTGTTAGGTGCTCTGGGAGTGCTTCCCAGGAAGCACTGGACCAATAACTGGTAGGTCCCTGGTGGTCAGGGCACAAGGTGAGGTTCTCTGCTCCAAGAGATGCCCAGTCCCAGGACCAGTCAGGATGGATGGGATGGCGGCAGGTGACATCGCTGTGGGTCTGAATTGAAGTCACAGGATTACCTCCCAGCAGGTCACTGCAGCCTGGCCACCACTTTCAGGGGGCACCTGAGTTCTGTGAGTGAGGAGAGTCGACCAATCACAGCCTGAGGAAGGGGGAGCGGGTGGGGGAATCGGCCCCTGTCTCAGCTATGCCTCTCACTCACTGGGGTGCTTACCCAGGTGCACCCCCCTTTCTGGGCCTTAGCTTCCGCAACGGAGAAATGACCGGGCTGGACGCAGGGGTGGGGGTGGGTGGGTGGGGGTTCCATGGTAGGGAGCATTGTAGCCACCTGGAGGGCTGGGGTGACCTCTGGCCCAGGACCCCCTTTGGGAAGGCCTAGGACCCCACGTGCCTACCCTTCTCACCCCAGCTGGGCGGCCGCCCCTTCACCCACAGCCTTTCTCCCCTTCCCACGCCCCGCAGGCGAGCACCAAAAGACCGAGTGTGACCAGCAGGCGTGCGCATGTGACAAGGACCTCGCCCTGTGCTTCCAGAGCCAGGTGTACCATGAGGAGTACCGCAGCTACTTTAACATCCGCTGCCAGAGCTCCCGGCCCCCCTGCAGCATCTACGAGCAGCACCAGGAGGAGGTCACCTGCAGGCAGACACGCCTCCCCAGCACTCCCCCAGCCCCCCTAGCGCGTCTCACCTCGGAGAGAGAGGGGGCAGGGGGTGGGAGTGGTGGTTCTGGTCTGGGCAAGCAGAGGGAGCAGGTGTTGGGGGTGGAAGGACGGGGTGGAGGTGGGGAGGCATCCAAAAGCTACCTCCTCCCTGGAGCCCCCGCAGGCCCAGCCCCCAGGCCAAGCCGTGTACCCTGGAAGGCTGGCCCTGGCCCCAGGCCCCTCAGGTCCAGTAGCCAACCATAGCTTTTCTGCTCCTGGCCCCAGGCCTGGTGGGGTGGGAGATGGGCAGCACCCCCACCACCCCCAGTGTGAAGGGAGAGGCCTCCAAGTTATCGCAAATGCATTTCCTCAGCTGTGCCCTCAGGCTCCCAGCTTGGTGTGCTGGGACCAAGAACCCAGGTCCTGAGGCCTGGGGGTGGGCTCACCCCTAGAACAAGTAAGTGACCCTAGCTGGTTTCAATGAGGTGGACTGGGTGGGGGTGGGGGGCTGGCTCAAACACAACAGGATGGCCACAATGCTGAGGTCCCAGTTTCCCAAAGTGCCTAAGAGTGGGGACACCGGCAGAGGCTACAGGACACTCTCCTAAGTGCATGGGAGAAGAGGGGGCCCCTTGGAGATCTCCTTTTGACACACGCACAGGGAGGGGTTCCCTCGACCCTGTCCTGCACCTGACCCCAGGCCCTGACAAACAATGAGGGGCCGGGCCCAGTCCCCTAGCCCCGATCTAACCGTCACACTGCAGGCAGTAGCCAGGCCAGGCCAGGCCAAGAGCAGAAAGACCCAGGCCCCCCCTCTGGACCACATGCAGGCGAGGACGGGCCCTCTGGAGCGAGGAGGAGGAGGGAACCATGAAGGGAGGCCGGTGGGGTGGGGGTGGCGCACAGAGTCCCTGGCAGTGTGTCCCGGGCCTGTGGGACTGAAGGCAGAGGTGGGGGAGGGCTCAGGCCTCTGTGGGGCAGTTACACTTCCCCAAGGGTTCTCTTGTGTCACCCCTTGACACCTTAGGGTCAGTGGCCTCCAGGAAACCAGCTCGCCCTGCCTCACCCCCGTCCCCAGCTCCTCCCCCAGCAGGTGGCACCTGGAGGACCCTTGCCGTGGAGACAATGTCTATGGACAGGATGCAGGATTGGACAGAAGCCAGGACCCAGCAACTTCCACAGCTCCGGCAGGACGGAGGACAGGGCATGGGCCGCTGCGTGGTGGAGAGACCTTGGGGCTTGCAGGCCTGGCTGTCTGCTGATTGGCATCTGAGGGTTCTGCCCCACCCCCTAACTTTTCCCTCCCTGAGACCTCTGAGGAGCCCAGCTAAGACTGCCTGTGTTCCTGCCCACGGCTGGCCGCCCCCCATCTCTGAGCTGAAGCCCCGCCAGCAGGGCTGGAGCTGGGAAGGCGTCTGGAAGTGGAGACTGGGGAGCCCTTGCCCCTTACTTGGCCCTGGCCCAGCCTCTGTGCAGCTAGAGCTTCCGCTGTGCTATCCACGTGTACACCAGGGCCTTCAGGTGGGCTGCATCTGCTGCCCGCCACCACCCCTCTCACCCTACACCCTTCTCCAACCGAGAAAGGCCTCCTGCTAGACCCTCTCTGCGTGGCCCTGGGGGCTGACCTCTAGCCCCCGACACACAGCACCTGGCACTACCGACCCCGTGCCGACCCAGCAGAAGGCAAAGGTGGGGAGTGGTGCTGCGGCCACCAGCATAGGGTCCTCAGCTGGACAAGTGAAGGGCTTTCGGGACAAGAGCAGCTGGACAAGTGAAGAGCAGCCCTCTCCCAATCCCCACGCCCTGTCCTGTGGGACAGTCGAGGGCCAGCGAGGACCAGCCACGTGTGCGAGTCACACAGGCGATAGAGAAGAGGCGGAGCGGGTGTCTGCCTTCCTTCACTCCTCCTCAGTGATGGCTTGGAGTCCAGTGGGCAGTGGGGGGAGAGGCCAAGGTCCTGGGTAGATGCTGCTTTGCTCTGGCAGTGCCCCCCGCTGCCCCCACCGGTGCCAGACCACACAGAATCCCCAGCGAGGACTTCAGTTCTGATGTGACTCACGCAGTGCAATCCCACGGAGGAGCATGGCCACGGCAGGGACCCCAACAGCGAGCACAGTGGAAAGGTCCTGTCTTTCCAAGACAGCAGCAGGCGAGGCCATGTGACTCACGGGGTCACGGTGATCCTGGTGGCCCCTCGGATCCACTGGTCAGCAAGTCGATTGGCACCAGTACCCCTTGGGTGCATTGGTCAAGCCGGCCTTCCAGAAAAATGCTTTCCTTGGTAGAACCAACCACAGGGACGTCTCTATTTAGATAATAAATGTCTGCTGAAGCACCGCCCACAGCTTGACGGAGAGTCCTGCTGGTGCCACCGCCTCTGTCAGGGTCGCCGCCCTGCGCTCAGGGGGCACCTCCCAGCTGCTGTTGATGTTGTGAGCTTTGGTGGCAGCCTCCCCGCCCCTGCTGCTGTGAAATGGGAGTAGATCCCTGCTCTGATGGGTCACAGGCTCATCACAACAGCCCCTCACCGCCCGAGACAGCAGGCAGGAAAGGGGATTTTTGAGAAGAATAGTGGGGGGTGGGGGAGTGGGTGAAGGAGAAGGTCCCTGTAGTGACTGAATTTGGAGCAAAGACGCTCATTGGAAAGAAAAATGAGGCGAGGCCAGTGAGACCGGGGGATGGACAGGGCCAGAGGTCAGGGCCCTGGGTTCTAGTCCTGCTCCATCCATCTCTGAGTCAGGGTCCTGCTCCAGGCTGGAGTGACCAGACCCAAATGCTCCCCAAGCTGCGCGCTTTGCCGGCAACCTCTCAGGTGGTCTCTGGGGGATGCGTAGGCTGAGCCGTTGAAGTTCTGTCCCCCACCCCACCCCACCCTCAATCTAAAATCAGCAACCCTGCTTTTCCTGGGTGATCAATCGATCGATAGGGGCAGTTTCCCCACAAGAATCTCTAAGACGAAAGAGATCCTTTAGGCGGAGAAGCGTGTGAAGCTTGCTGATGAGACCCCCAGTCCAGGGGGCTCCACTGTGGCGTCCCGGGCACAGGGGCGGGGCTGGGCTCGGACATAGCCTCTGCCCAGTGTGTGAGCCAATGGATATGTGGTGTTAGAGCAGAAGACCCCTTCCAAGTTTCGGTTATGCCGATCCCATTGCCGCCTTCATCAAGTTCAGACCAATTCTTGATGCCCTACATGCTCTGTAGGGTTTTAAATGGCTGGTTTATTGGAAGCAGATCACCAGGCCTTTCTTCCTAGGCACACGTGGGTTGTGAACCCCCAACCTTTCAGTCAGGAGCTGAACACGTTAACCACCTGCACCCTTCCTCCTCCCACCATGCCCTCGCTCCAGGGGTTCTGTTTTTATCATCATCATTATTATTTTAATGCTAAGGCTTGACACAAGAGGATTTCATGGTCTCTTCACTGGTGGGGGGCTGCCATCTCCTTTCCCACCTCCCCACTCCTTAATTCTGCAGGTGCCTGGAAGGACCCTCCAGGGAAAGGTTGTCGACTGTTTTCTAGAACTTGAGCGACACCTAGCGGCTATTATAGGTCACCACTGCCCCTGCACCCAAAGTGTCCCGAGCCCTGTTGAGAGCCCCTGCCCCAGGCTGGCAATGCCCAGGAGACCACCAGGAAGTGGTCAGCCTCACCCTCGCCATTGTCCTGTCAAAGAGTGCAGTCAGGGTATCCTCAGGCTGCATGGCCTTGGGGAAGTCACTTCATCCTCTGAGTCCCGGTCTCCCATTCTATAAAATGCGGACAACAAGGCAGTGTACACTGTGGGTTTGGAGGTCAAAGGAGGTCTCGGGCAAGAAGGCTCTGGCCAAGGGTCTGACGTGGAGTGAGACTGTGGCCTTGACCACCAGGTCCAGGTGGGGAACCGGCAACAGGGAGGAGACAGGAAGCAGGAATCCTCTCTATTAGGGACTGAATTGTGTGCCCCCAGATGGGTCAGAATCCTAGCCCCTATACCCGTGGGTATGAATCAAAATTAGAAGAAATTGCGGCAAACATCCACCAAAAATAGGAATGCAGAAGGTACAGCTATGAATCTGGGGACACGAGATGTTGTCAAAATGAAATGGAATGCTTGGAAATTGAAGCCCTAGGTGTGAGTGAGCTGCAGTGGACTCGTATGGGCCCTTTTTGACTCGGCCAAGCCTGTGGCCTACTCTGCCGGGAATGACAGATTGAGGGTGATCGGCCTCACTGTCAACAAGCACCTGTCAAGCTCTATCCTGACGTGTGATGCTGTGCATGACAGGGTGGTATCCATGTGTCATGCAGAGAGACTCGTTACGATGACAATTGTTCTATTTTTATGCACCAACCATGGGTGCCAGAGACAGAGCCACTGAAGATTGTGTGAACCAGCCCCTGCCATCTGAAAACAGCCCTGGTGGCCCAGTGGGTAGAGTGCTTGGCTACCATCGAACGGAAAGATCGAATTTAACAAGACCGAGGACCGTGGCCAATGCACTTTTCAACAGCATGTATGGAAACTGTATACGTGGCTGTCACCAGCCGAAACACACAGGAATCAAATTGGTGACATCTGGGGAAAGTGAAACCCAGCCTACTAGTCAAAACTAGGCCAGGGAATTGCTCACAGGCAAGTTCTCGGGTTCTAGCTTTCAGTGTGGATTACACCCCCATATAAAGGCCTCGCAGCTCCTCCTAACTGGAACCAATAAACTCCATTGCAATAAATGGAGAAAATCTTAAACGTGCCAAGGAACTCATTTTGCTTGGATCCACCATCAATTTCCATGGAAGCAACAGTTGAGCCATCAAAGAATGAACTGCTACCCAAGACCTCTTTAAAAGGTTAAAAAGCAAAGCTGTCCCTAAGGTGTGCCTGACCAAGGCCCGGTATTTTTAATTGCTTCACATGCAAGTGAAAAGTGGACAGTTAAGGAAGACCAAAGAGGAGTGGATGTATTTGAGCTATGGGGCTGGTTAAGAGTTGTGAATACCTTGGACAGCAGAGAATGAGCCGATCCATGCTGGAGGTGGTATAACCCACGTGCTCCTTAGAAGCTGTGACTGTGAGACTCTCACTGACTTTGGACATGTTCCAGGGAGGGACCACCTCCTGGAGAAGGACATCATCCTTGGGAAAGTAGAGGGGAAAGAGGATGGGTAGGGGTAGTGGCTGCCACGCTGAGCTAAAACAAGATTGTGAGCGCGGAGCAGGCCTGCACGGAGCTTCCTTCTAGGGCAGCGGTTCTCAACCTCCTCATGCCGCGACCTTTTCATACAGTGCCTCCTGTTGTGGTGACCCCAAGCCATCAAATTATTTTCGTTGCTACTTCATAACTCATTTTGCTACTGTGATGAATCGTCATGTAAAGATCTGATCTGCAGGATGTATTTTCATTGCTACCAATTGAACGTCATTAAAGCATAGTGATGAGTCATGAAAACAATATGTCATTCTAGATTGTGAAATATTGATTTCTAATGACTAATCAATGAAATTTTGTCTTGAAGCATGGTGTACCATGGGCAACAGTCTTAACAGAACAACAGGAAACTACATTGCGACATTTTGCGACAGTATGCATAAACAGCCAACATCAGTGTGAAGGTTGAGATAGCTTCTTTCTCACCAGATCAGAAATTCTCGGGGCAGTCTTTGCAAGAGCACAACGAAGATCATCTTCCACAAGTCTACTTCT